GGAATGAGTCAGATCTGACTTGATGGCAGTGAGTTTGTTTTGGTTTTTGCTTGAAATCACATTACCACTTAAATCAGTGATGCTACTTAGCATTATTCGTATGAAGGCTACGAAGACTGGGACATGAAAAGTGATGGCATGATAAATATCACTAATCATTAATACAGCCAAACTAATTAGCGTAGTGCCTAAAGCATTTGACTGCTAACCAAAAGGCTGGTGGTTCAAACCCACCAGCCACTCCTCGGAAGGAAGGTTGGGCAATCTACTTCTGTAGCGATACTGCCTCGGAAACCCAAAGAGGGGTTGCTATGGGTCGGATCCGCCTCATCAGCAGTGGGTTTGATTTGCTTTTTTTTTTTTTATATACCTTGACCTAATTATCTGCAGGACAAAGATTCAGCTTGGCTTTATACAGATGTAGTAAGTTTCTGCTTACATGGTATCATTTGACTCAATAGGTCTGGAATGAGGCCTAGGAATCTCAATTTAAACCAAGTGCCCCAGAAGTTTTTGATTGACAGCCAGACTTGGGAATCACTCCTAGGCTGTGAAGTAGCTATAGGCACTTGTTTGGAAATGGCTCTGTATCATAATACTAGAAGATGGGAACCACAAACTCAGTGTATTCTACTCTCCTGAAGGACTGTAAGTGTGATTTATTGCAGGAAGAGAAAACCTGTGTTTTATGAATATGTGTGCATGTTTGAAGAAGGTGACTTGAAATAAGGGGAGCAAGGAAGGACAGAATTTAAGGGAATCATTTAACATAAAGAGCGAGCAAAGGTTAGCTGAAATTATTATCATTTCCACCCTATCATTGCTTTTCAAGTCTCAGTGGGTCAGAATTCCTACTTATGTCTACAGAAAACTTCACCACAATGAATGGAGTTGATGAGATTCCAGTGAAAAATATGTTTTGTTTTTAATATTGAAAAAAAAATAGCCTTAATTTAGGTTGAAAGTAAGGATATTATACTTTTATTGGAAAAGAGACAGACCCTCAGGTCCACTGAAGGCCTATGAAAGATGCCCAGATTTCAACGTGACAGCAACTGCCTTCTGGGCTAAAGGAAGACCTCGCATAAATCAAATTACCTTCTAGAAAATGATGGGATTGTGATGAGGTCTGTGTATTTTACATGGCTTACATTGCACATACAGGACAAAATATCTATCATATAAAAATTCCCCTAAATCCAAAAGAAGCCCCATGCCAATATTACTGTTGCCCTATGCTCACTGAAATACAGCATCACAGATTAGATATAGTACCTCATGATTGGCATAACAGAACTTGGAGAGATTCATAGAAAAGCAACTAAAACAAGTAAGGGGCTGGGGAAAGGACTGCAGAGGAGTGTTATTGGATTAGGAACTAAAATGAGGTTCAAAAAAAACCAAACCCACTGACGTCAAGTCGGATCCGACTCATAGTGACCCCTCCTTGGGTTTCTGAGGTGGTATCTCTAAGGAAGTAAATTGCCCAATCTTCCTTTCAAGGAGTAGCTGGTGGGTTTGAACTGTCAGCCTTCTGGTTAGCAGTCAAATCCCTTAGGCACTATGCCACCAGAGCTCCCCAAATGAGATTAGGCTCTCCAATTTTTTATTTTTTTGGTAGAAAAGATGTTCTATTGTTACTCTGATGTTATAAAACATTCTGAAATAATCAGAGAGAGAACTGCCAATTTTGGTGTTGTTGACAACTAGAAATGCTCTATTTTCTTACCTCTCTGCAGACAGCTGCTATTTGTCCTTCATCCATACAGGTCTCTGTGACCACATCAGTCAAAGAGCCACCAGCCAAGTATTCCATGACTACCCATAGTTCATCACCCACTAAGTAGCTATAACAAGAAAAGAAAAAGACTTTGCCTCAGGTCTAAGGAAGTAGGGTCTCTCTTATATCCTCATTAAGAATGACCTTTGCAGTTAGCCTCTGCATTTGGTCACATTAAATAACAACAAAATATTAGTGATGGAGATAATGAGACACCTCCTTACCTGTAGAAGTGTATATGCCTGGGGAAATCAAAGTGTCATCAGATATGGCTGGCAGATACGACCATGCACCACAGGATGGAAAAGAGGGAAGAGGCCTCTGGTGACTACTGCCAATTATGCCATGGTAAAAGCTGGCTTCAGATGACCAGGAGCAGGAATAGCTCTGCTATTGGATAACTCAAGCCATAATGTTCACTTCTTGAATTGAGCCAGTCTGTGGTATCCAGATTTGTAGGATATTTATTCAAATCTCAGCATTATTATGGAGTCTACTGAATTAATTACTGAAAGGTTTTCAGAGAGTTGCTCAATCTTAAAGGCTCATGTTTGCAACATATTTACTGTGCTGATATCTCTGTTTTGATAAAAGTCAGTTGTGCCATGGGGGACATGCTCCAAGCGATCAGATATAGGGACAAAGGTCTCCATAGCCATACAATTCAGGTAAAGAGAGCATGAGATTATTCAAATCATCTAGGATCATCTGAAGGGACTTTAGCAGTATTATTGGGATGCTCTGGTTCCTACTCATCAAGAGTGATGAATTATAATGAACTGAATAACATAAAAAAAAAGATTCAACCCTACTGTAAGGAACATATCAATGTGAAGCAAAACTTTCCATCCAGTGATTTTCAAATTGCAGTGTTCAGAAGATTCACCTGGAGATGCTGTTAAAAATGAAAATGACAGGCCCGATCTCCTCTAGTCATGAAGAGGGTCCTAGAAATCTGCATTATTTACAAGTACCTCAGGTGATTCTGTTGTGGGTGGCCCCTAAACTACACTTTATGAAACTCTGGTCTGGATTGTAAAATTGAACCTTTCCCTACTCGGCTTTTTCCCTATCTCTTTATCACAGCTCTACCTGGCCCAAAATACACACAGCAAGACAATATGCTCCCTGAGTTTGACAACTCTGTCTTATTTCCTTTGAATCCCTCCAGAGTACACAGCAGAGTGGAGCTAAACAAACACTTATTTAAACTGAACAAGACAGATGTCAACCACAAATGAAGGGTTAGCGCTATCTTTAAATGCCTATTTATAAGCAAATGCTAATACCACTGATGAAAGAGACATTAATTACCTGGTCTAGGAAAAACGTTTGAGATTAAAGTCTCAATTCCCTAGACCTCACTGTCAGTTAATCACAAAGTGCCCATTAAAGCAGGGCCATTGTAGTCAGCTTTCTACACTTGGACTCCCAGTGACTACACTGGCTCTACACAAACACTTGCTGAAGTGTTTAAAACACCACTGCCCTTCCCTATATGCAGTAGTCTATTTCCTGTCAACATGGAGTCACAATCATGAAAAGGAACCTAACCAAACTGTTTTTATTTAGAATCAAGACCATAAATCGTGTTTCTTCAAGTGTTTTGTGGTTGGACAAAGATAAGGGTGCAAGCTTAGCAACAGCTCAGATACTCAACTACTTTGTAGCATTTTGAGAAATCTTCATAGAATGAATGTTAAATGAATAAATCCCAAGTAAAATAATTTGACAAGAAAATGACATGCTATCCGAAAAATAAGTACGTAATAAGAGAAAACACTTACCTATCTAAATAATTAACAATATTGGGGTTTTTATTTTCCCTCATGACTAGAATTTCATTAATAATTAATTCCTTTTTGGGCTGCTGTTGAAGGTTCATCTGCTTTATGGCCACCTGAATAATGATTAAAATACAAGAGTGAATTATAATCACCAGCATCAAGCCAAACCATCCATGCTTAGGAGGACACAGAATGAGGCATACATATTGTTTGTCTACTAAGCTCTTCCTCTGTGCCATGACCCCATGCCCTTTTCCTTCTTGTCGATCAAAAATAATCCGTCCACTTCTTATGCTTTTGGACATCAGTGAAGTTAACCTGCACGTCAACCCAGTGCTACCTGGTTTAGGGATGAACTCTCTTGACCACCCATTTTTTCAAATGTAGATACCATGAAAGAGGAAACCAGATAGATATGAATAAAGTTCAGGATGGAGTGTCAACACTTACCTCTTGTCCTGTTGCAATGTCTAGTGCTGTATAAACAGTACCTGATGCCCTGTGAAGAAGATGAAAATGATCAAATTAATGAGCAGTAAGATGTTACTGGTACGTTTCAGTTGAAATAAAACATGTAATTACTTTCAGGGGAGGAAAATTAGCAAACTCAAGATTAAAGGATAAAGCAGAAAAGGAGAATTGTATTATATAGCAAGGGAACCAGAAACAAACATGATGTGTCCTTTTTTGGAGGCTAGGAATGCATCTACTTCTGTAAAGACTTACCACCTCGGAAACCTGAAGGGGGTCACTATGAGTCAGAATCGACTTGATGGCAGTGACTCTGGTTTTTTGGAGGAATGCATCAGACTTTTTGGCAGTAGTCTGTATGCCAGGGCACCATGAAGGT